GTGTGCTCCTGAGATCAAGTATAAATCTTCGTAAGTTTTCGGTTGTTTAGTTTCGTACTAGATGATGGAGGTGTATAGAGCCGGTTTATGCTTCGCGGCTGAGGAGACCCGGCGATTTGGGAGACATCGCTTGTCTGGCGGTTGTGCTGAAGGAGTGGATGAGTATGGATGGGCGCCAGCCGTTAGGGATTGTGGAGGTACGGCGATCCGATAATTTGGGAGATCGCCGAGTACCTATAATTTCCTCGTCGTACAATCTCTCAAATCGCCGAGTCTCCAAAATCATCGAATCTCCTCAGTCGCAAATTCTCCTCCGTTACTCTCCAATAATTTCATGCTTTCAGAAGTATACAACCTGATAGGGGCGGAACATTACAATGGCGGACAAATCCTTCTATGCAGTTCTACCAACCCGCTACGGTCAAAAACGTGTCCCTGGTCATTTTCGATAGAGCTGTTTCGGATAAGGATGCCGAGTAAGCTTTCGTCAAGTTTTTTCAGGGAATACTGCAGACGCGGAGAACCGAATTGTGTCCAACATAGCAGTGCGATTTGTCACTCAGCTCGCGCGAATCAAGCGGCTAATCGCGAAGTCTGCACGTGCTGTAGCCGAGAAAGCGTCATCGCTCACCTATTCTTTTCTTGGAACTAGGACCTGTTGTTGAATGTTAAACCATTGGAGATCTCATTTTTTTGGATTTCAAAGCTCAAAGTTTAGAGAGTTCTATGGTGCGCTAGCCAGAGCCGGGCGAGAACGTGGAATGGATGTACAACAGAACAGCGCGAAAATCACTCATTTATCCTCAGAACTCGATAGTGAAATTGAAGAGCATTTCAGGTGGGTATGTTTGGCAGCTGTTTCAATACAAATAGCTTTTATTGTTTTTTCAATCGTCTTGAGAAGCTCAATCAGCTAACCAACTAAAAACGTCCGCGAGAATCGTATTTGGTGTGATTCAGGTCCTGCTCTGGGAAGGTCTCCATGATTATGTGCATCACGAGGGAAAAGAAAGATCCTGTTCATGGTAAGCGAGACCATTGTTGATGTTGAGCCTATTCTTTAAAATATTGGATTTTCTGATATTGTTTTATTAGCACAACTGCTGTTTAACGCCGCAGTTTGCGCTCCGAAAGTTATCACAAGAATACCGAGTTGAGGGCAAAAGTTAGCCTATAGGTTATGGAATAGGCCATTGAGCTGAGAGGGTAAGAGAGGAGGCTCTGGTGGCGTCAAGGTAACTTACTCGCCGGGCAAGTGTAAATGCGGGTTCGACTCCCACTTGGGGTCAGATTTTTGACCATAATGCAATATTCTCGTGAATGACTTCTAAAATGTTTGTACAATGTTCATTTCAGACTTCGTGAAACTACTTGAAGCGAGACATAAGGTGCTCACTCAGCATGTTTGCAGACAAACGGCGTTGGCATGCAGCGGAAGGGGTGGAGCAAAGGTTCGGGTTTAGAGTTTTGACTATCTGTACGAAAATCGAGACGAACGTATCATTATTGCAGACTCTCGAAAATGTTTTGCTGAAGTTCAACGTTAAAAATGGAGGGGTCAATCACACGGTATCTGCAGCCAGGGCGGCGCTTGGAGGAGGAACCACTCAACAGGACATGTGAGACTCACATTATTTACCCATTTTTCATCAGCGTGGGTGAAGTCGGCTCTCGAATAACTGAAGCAGTCGTGTGAAAGTAGTTTTCGATTCAAGTTGACATTATTTACCCCCTCCCCCCACCCAACTTTCTGGAATCAGGCCAGATTTTGATGGACATATTTTTCCAGGGGAGGATTTGACTAGAGTATTGTACATATTTGAATCAACTAGTTAGTGGGAGTTGTTTTACCACTGCACACGTATATCACTTTGCAAGGGAACGGCGTGATGCCTGCGCTACTTGCGCCAAAATCCTCGAAACGCCGATTTCGCCGAAAACTTGTCTTGGTGTTTCAATGTTTTGGCAGTCTCCATGAGGATTTTCATCAAAACGTGAATTGAATTTAGAAGAGTCGGTCAGCATAGGGGTAAATAATGGCTACTTGTATGTTGACTAAGTATAGATTGGAACGAACATGCCTTTACTGGCTGTCATACGGTGGGCAGAAAATACGTTGGGAGCACACATCTCAACTCCTTTTACTGTGTAGATCGTTATGAAGTGACATTTGAACCTGGTAGTGAGAAGAGTAAGAAAGTAACGAAACTCATAATTTCAGAAATGGGCGGTTGTTTAGCGGTAAAATGTTTGTCGGATTTGAGCTGTCGCATGCAGCAGCGCAAAGTTTCTACGATCGCCAAGTAGCGGAAAAAGTGAAGGAGCCAACCGTGGTTGGGGTCAGTTTTAGAATTATAGGGACTTTTCTTCATCTTAAAGTTCGTAACTGGAGACAGATTCAATAAAATAGTTCTTTTGCAGTTTGCATACTCAGCCGGACAACCTACTGACTATGGTGGTTTTTGGTGGTATCAAGAGCCACGGCTGCACACTATTCTGTGAGTAAAAATCACATGCCTACAGCGCTTACAGCCTTGCTCGTTGCGCATGCTTGCTGTACGTTCCAGGGGGTTTGGCGCGGCGTAAGCTCGTTTTCCTCCAATACTTGTCGTTTGCACACTTCAGCTATTGTTGAAAAACGGGTTGGTGCCTCGTCAGATCCAGTCCCCCCTGACATGCCCAGGCGTTCGCAGCGACCAAATCTGTAGCTAGCATGATATAGTGTTGTGCAGCGTTCAGCTTCTACATGCTTCTTTTGCTTCATTTTCGATTTTGTTTTATATTGGGAGATCATTGGAATTATTGGTGATAGTTCTCAAAGCTCATATAACTTGAGAACTTCGTGTTTACAGGTACCTCCGAGATCATTTCCATCGTGCTTTTATGGACTACCACAGGAAAAATAAACGCTTGCCCACGGAAGTAGTAGTATACAGATCGGGAACGAGTGAAGGAGAATTTTCGGAGGTAACTGAAAAAAAAACTGTTGAGTGAATCATGAAAACGGTTCCCTTTATATTACTACGACTTATGTTAGCCTGTTTCAGGTTGAGAAGGAGGCAAACGATATTCGAGCTGTTGCTGAGAAACTGTCTCACTTGAATAATGGCAGGCCATACTGTCCAAAAGTAGCAATCATCGTTGCCCAGACTAACAGCAATTATAGGTGAAATTACTGTTCTGCTCGGCATATTACAGCTCGTGTTCGCTAATTGCCATATTTTTAGGATAATGCCTGCTTCTATGCCGCAGAGCAACGGTGGTCGAATGAGAGCTTCCGATTATAACGTCCCATCAGGAACATGCGCAGACACTGGCATAACTCACCCACGGCTCCGAGAGTTTATCATGACGTCTCAGCAAGCTAACATTGTGAGTTTCTGGATCTGCAGCGCTAGACCTGTCCTCTGAGCGTTCTGCCCCGATTTGATCTCCAGCAAGCTTCGCGCCTTTGCTGTATGGAATGGTGGGATTTCATGACCATATTCTCACTAGCTATCGCAAGAATGCTGAGTTACATGCAGAAAGCGTGGCCCAAAGCGGAACTGAAACCCGCACCTTGGAGTGTGTTCATACTTTGCGTCAGCATTTTGGCGTAGATCAGCGTGCGCTCAAAACGCCAGATCAATACCTATGGTTTTCTTGTCGCTCGAAACGCAGCTGCACGCTGGCATACGCTCAAAACCTGGATCTATACCTACATATTCCTATTTGCTCAAAACACATTCGCAGAGTATGAGTGCACTACCAGACGTGTACGCTTACCGGACGAGTGCATTACTCATTACGACGAGGCCATGTTCGATTCCCTCAGTGTAATGGCTTTTACCACATAAACGTGTGTTTGCTGTGGAGCACTGGTATAAAAGTCATAAGGTTGGGGGTGTAATGGAGGTGGAGGGGTCGGGTTCTTCGGCGGTGTAATGGATAGATCGCTCAAGCGTATGGTAAGTTTTTTCTGAGGCCAAATCTTTTGTCCATCACCCAGAAATATTGTGTTAAGTTTCCGAGCGCAAAGTGCTGCGTTAAAGAGTTGTCATAAATAAACATTGCTAGTTGCAACGTTTAGGGAACTTCTCGCCCTACCCGGTATACAATCGTTGTTGAGGATAAGCCCCAGATGTCTTTAACAGATGCAGAACATATCACACATTTCCTTTGTCATGGTCACCAGGTACATTACAGTATAGCTTTAGTTTAATTCCTCAACTATTGCGGGAATGATAATCACTTCTGTTGTCCTTTTCATAGCGATTTTCTTTTACAGCAATCAACCCTACCTACACACGTGCCAGCAGTTCTGTATGCCGCTGAGAATCTAGCGAAACGAGGCCGTGCTGCCTGGAAAGCTAAATTGTAAGTCATGCTTTGAGTGGGATAATT